CATACTGAGTGACTTTGCTGATGTCTTCACCGATCAATTACCTCCACTTAGAGACCTCCCTAACCTTCCCCACTATCGTATGAACCCCACAGAACATGCTGAACTTAAGAAGCAAGTGGGCAAGCTACTGCAGTGGGGATTTATCAAAAAAAGTCTTAGCCAGTGTGCTGTGCCAGCCCTCCTTACACAATAAAAAGATGACACTTGGAGGATGTGCGTTAATAGCCGTGTTATTAATAAAATCACTATCAAATATTGATTTCCTATCCCGAGGTTAGACGATATGCTCGACATGATAACAGGAGCCACTCTTTTCTCAAAGATTGACCTTAAGAGTGGGTACCACCAGATCTGGATCCGACCCCGTGATGAGTGGAAAACTGCCTTTAAGATCAAGAATGGTCTATATGAGTGGATGGTCATGCCATTTGGGTTGAGTGATGCCCCAAGAACATTTATGAGAATCATGACCCAAGTGTTATGCCATTTCATGGATAAGTTTGTCGTTGTTTACTTTGGCAACATCCTTATCTATAACCAATCTGTAAGTCAACAATTAGACCATCTAAGGAAGGTTTTTGAAGTCTTAAGGAACAACTTTATGCTAATCCTAATAAATGCACCTTCCTTGTTGACTGAGTCATTTTTCTTGGATTTATCGTGTCTGCCCAAGGGGTCTCTGCAGACCCCGAGAAGGTGAAAGCCATTGTTGAATGGCCTGTTCCTCAAAATATTCGGGAAGTCTGCAGCTTCCACTGTTTAGCCACCTTATATTAGAGATTTATTAGAAACTTTAGTACCATTGTGTCTCATATCACTGATTTCCTCAAGAAAGGTGATTTTCACTGGACCCCAGTTACCACTAAAGCCTTTGAGGAAATTAAGACACGAATAGTGGAAGCCCTAGTTATAAGACTTACTTCTCCAAAGTCTTGAAAGTGACCTACGATGCTTTGGGGATCAGAATTGGAGGAGTCCTGTCCCAGGAAGGTCACCCTGTTGCTTAGTTTAGGAGAAGCTAAATGACATCCGACAAAGCTATTCCATATATGACAAAGAGTTCTATGCTGTGATCCAATCCCTTTGTTATTGGCAACACTACTTACTCACACAAGAGTTTGTTATCTTTTCGGATCACGAGGCTCTTCCTTAGATCAACTCCCAGAAAAAGTTAAATGCTTGTCATGGGCGTTGGGTAGAGTTTTTACAAGAATACACTTATACCCTTAGGCACAAGGCAGGAATTGAGAATAAAGCTGCTAATGCTCTCAATCGTCGTATGATTACAACAATCAAGAAGAGCCGAAGTTATTGGGCTTGAGCGAGTAAAAGAGGACTACTTGGAATGCCCCGACTTCAAGGAGACTTACTCCTTATTGTTCAGATGCAACATACGCCTTATGGGTGATTTTCTCCTTGAGGATGGCTATCTTTTCAAAGCTCAGAAGATTTGCATCCCTCGCACGTCCCTTAGGGAATTCCTCGTTTGGAAACTCCATGCCGGAGGCTTCACTGGACACTTCGGTCATGATAAGACTATAGAAGTCGTAGAGTACCGCTTCTTCTGGCCTAGCCTGAAGAAGGATGTTGGTAAAATGGTCAGTAGGTGTCACACTTGCCAATTGACCAATCAACGTAAACAAAACACTGGTCTCTACACTCCTCTTCCTGTTCCTAGCTGTCCGTGGCAAGATGTTAGCATGGACTTCGTCCTAGGCTTGCCCAAGACTTTTCCTAGGAATGACGCCATTTGTGTTGTAGTTGATCGCTTTTCCAAAATAGCCCATTTCCTACCCTGTTCCAAGACATCCGACGCCTCCCATATTGCCAAACTGTACTTCAATGAGTCGTCAGATTACATGGTTTACCCAGGACCATTATATCTAATATGGATGTAAAGTCCATTAATTACTTCTAGAAAACTCTCTGAATGAAAATGGACACTAAGCTACAATTCTCCACAGCCTTTCATCCTCAAACTGATGGCTAAATTAAAGTGATCAATATAAGTTTAGGTAATTTGTTAAGACCCCTAGTAGGTGAACATATTAAGGATTGAGATTCCAAACTCCCCTCAACCAAATTTGCCTACAATAACTCTGTGAACCGCACCACTGGTTTAAGCCCTGATGAAATTGTTTATGGGTACAAACCTAGGAAGCTTTTAGATCTCATACCCATGTGTTCTAAGTATAAGATTTTAAGTCTACATCCTCATTTGCATTACATTTGCATGAACTATATAAGAAAATTGCACGCCGAATTGAACAGAGTAATATTAATTATAAACTTCATTTTAAACGAAGATTTAAAACTTTTGAGGTTGGTGATTCAGTGATGGCACGAATTCGTCCGAAATGGTTCCCATAAAGAACTGTTTAGAAATTACATACTAAAAGTGTGGGATCATTCAAAATAGTCAAGAAAATTAATGATAATGCTTACATGGTGGATCTGCCTGCAGAATTTAATATTAATCCCTCTTTTAACATAGAAGATTTAGAAGCCTATGAGGGTTTAGAGTTTAACCCACCAAATCCACTGTAAAATGAGCCTTATGTGCACCCTGTAAGAACCCAAGCCTACCTCCACTCCCAAATATTCTCAAAATACCTACAACAGAGAATATTGACAAGATCCTGAGTGATGATATCATTTCCACAAAAGAGGGTGGATGAAGGTGTTTGATTAGGTGGAGAGGTAAGCCAGAGTCAGAGGACACCTGGCTAGAGCGCGACGAGCCTCAACGGATTGATCCATATGCATTAGAGATTTATGAGCGGATACATACTCGATAGAGTCTAGCTCTTCCCCCCCCCCCCCCCCCCCCTTCACAAACCGCCGGTCATCACTTCCCCTTCCCCTCTCTTAGCCGAAAATATAAAAACTAAGAAAAGAAAAAAAAAAAAAAAAAAAGAAGAATATATAAGAAAATAAAAAAAAAACAAAACAGCAAAAAAATAACATAAAAAAAAAACATAAAAAGAAAAAATAAAGAACAAAAAAAAAAAGTAAAAAAAAAATTATAAAGACCCCACACTGCCATTACTCCATTAATCCTAAGCCGGCCACCCCCCCTCCTCCCTTTCTCTCGGCCGAACACCACCACCCCCACAACTCCGATCGGCCACCCCTCTCCCACCTCCAAACGTCGGCCCAAGACCCCTCCCCTTCCACATCGTCGGCCCAAGCCCAAACCCCAACCCTAATCCTAACCTAGCCGTCGGCCTCACCTTCCTCCCCTTGCCTCCAAAATTTAAATCCCGAGTTAACACTTTCCATTTATTAAACATCTTAAATTAGAAAAGCTATTGATTTCAATTTCCAATCAATTTGAATTTGAAATTATTTCTTAATATACGATGATCTATTTTTGAAAGGTTACTTAAATTAAGTTCAATTAAATTTCAAATTGAATTTGATTTAATTCAATCATATCCTATTTGAGATTCTTGATAAGGCAAGCCTTAATTCTATTTCCCAAAGCCCCACTTCCCCTAGACATGCCGCCGGCACCACCCCCCTTCCCTCTCTCTTCTTCATTAAATCCCTTCCTCTTAAGCCTCAATCAATTCTCTCATTAAGGAGTGTCTTTCCTTTCCCTCCTTTTGTTTGAAATTCAAATTGCAAAAACCCAAAATCCCTCCTAATAAAATCTGAAATTACTTTTCAGATTTTGGAAACTTCCCCTCCCCTTCTCCATTACCCGCCGGCCCCTCTCTTTCTCTCCTCCCTTCCTCTTTGCTTTTGCAAGATAATTTCCTCATTGTTAATTTAGGGATTTCTCATTGAAAATCCTTCGTGTATGCTATGCTTGAATAATTGATTATTTTATGATCTTAACTTCTAGTTGTATGACTTGGCCTAAGCTAGTTTTCCCCCTCTCATTTTTTTTCATTGTTTAAATCGCTATAAGTTTAATATTTAATATTGCTATCATTCAAAAGCGTGCAATTTCTTATTTAATATTGCCTAAGCATTTAAGTCCTACATCATATATACTCTTATTATAAAAGATCACCACTCTATATCTCTTTAGTGAAGAACAATTAGTTTGTATCTTTATCATGGCTTTGAGACTTATTTTTTTTTCAGTCATTGTAAAAAGGCTGAAACATATTAATATATATGCTCCAGCTAAAAAGAATTATTATCATAGAAAGTGATGGATTAAAAATATACTTTATTACAAAACTATATCCTCAAATAAAAGATATTATCCTCATTATTATCTTCCTTTTACATACTTCTTGTTTGCCTATATATAAGCATTTGTATTTAATAAATAGGATATTACAGAAAGGCTTCTGTCTCTAATGACTTCCATGTGATATGTAATTTTACTACTGCTAATGGAGCAACTAGAAATGTCAGCTTGCTAATGACTAAGTAATCGCTCATTAGATTATTAAGGCTTTAAGATATCATTCTTCCGGAGGTTTTTAAACTGATTAAGTTACGTGTAGAGCAAACTTGTGATTATTTATTTGGGTGAAAATTTCATTAGCAAGCTCATCATTATTTTGCAATCCTTTTGTTGATATTAATTTTATGCTCTATGAAGGACAATGATTTTATCTTTCATGTCTGATTTTTGCGATGGACACATCTTATAAGATGCAAATTATGAGCTTATCCTCAACCTTGGAAGCAAGATAAACTTCAAATACATAACGAGAACTCACTTCCTATTATTAACATTTTAAGGACGACTGAACCTTCTCAATAATTTTGTTAAGTTTGTATTAGAGTAGAATAAAAAAGCCTTAATACAAGTAACTTAAGATAATTTAGCTTGTTGCTCAATCCTTTGCTGCTATCAATTAATGTTGCATGCTACATGTAGAGGCGCACCATATTTCAAAAGAAAAGCAGTAAAACAGTAAGAATATCTAAATTATACCCTATATGTAAGGCATATATGAATTTTCATGTCAATTGTTTAGGCATGACTTGAAACTATAAAAAATGAAATATGTGAGGCTAATGATAGTGCATACCAAAATTATAGGATAAAATCTAGATAGTTGCCATGTTTCTTCTATATCACTCCGACTTTTCCTTGCTGCATGTTTCTTCTATTAACCAATGACATGCAAAGCACAATATCAATAACCACAAATTGAACAGAAACTTCATAAGTAGTCGCAATTAGTAATTTAAAAGTATGGTGCTCACCTTATGAACATCAAATTTGAGTGAGAAACCTCCAGATGTTTTTTTGCTCTCTGGTAATGTCAAATATCTCATATTATGAACAGCATTCATGTCATCAATTGATAATCTTGCCAACTGAATAGAAAAAAAAATCTCATTGAAAATCTCTAAGGGATCTACATGAAGTATGCTAGCAACGAATAAAAAGAGATTCTTCTCTGAATTTGCAAAACTATTTTATCCGGAAAAACCTTAAAAAATGAAATGTGATGCCTTTCTAGTATGCACTAGGAACTAGGGAATATCCTTCAAACCCCTCTGAGCAATAAAGAGGATCAAATTTGCAAAACATAATATCTAGAAAAAATTGCTAAAGATGCATCAAGATATTGCCATGGCGAAAATATTTAACACTTTTTGGTTAAGAAGAAATTTTGAAGGTTAAACTACATAGGTTCCAATGTCAGTGCAAAAATCATAGATAAATAATAATAATAATATTACAATTCTAATATAAGAGTATCAAAGTTTAGGCAAATTATTGGGTCAGGTGACCGAAGAAATCTCTCCGTTCGGTCGCCAATAGAAATGCGACATCTGTTAGGCGTTTTTTTAATTTAATATGTTTGCTTTATGTCTTGTCAGAGTTAGCGACCCGACCCGATAACGCATTTCATTTGAATTCCGGAAAATAAAGAATGGAAACGCCGCGTATTTTATTTTCAAGCGACATTTTTACTGTTACTCCAGCTCTGGTAAGCGCTCTCGGATTCCTCCAATACCTTCGGTTCTGCATTAGCTTATTCCTGCCGGAGGTAGACGACGAGACTGTAGAAGATCATCAATCAGGAAGAGGTATGGTTGCGCCTAACTTGCGCTTTCGTTGCGTTTAAATTATATGTTAAATTTTAGGGTTTGGTTTAGTTATAATTTTTACATTGTTTGTTTAATGTAATGTACTGTTCAAATGTTTATTTTCTGTTTTTTCACGTTTCTTTTCTTCGTAAATGGGCGAAGCTAAGGATACGAAAGGTTTACGCTTTCTGCTAAATTTTAGTGTTTAGTAATAGTTGTATAACTAGCATATATGTTCAATGTGGTGTTCAATTTTTGTTTTTTCTGAATTTAAACCTTCTTTTAAGCTAATTAATTATGAAATGTATTGTTGCGCTAAGGTTGTGCTAAGGTTGCGCTATGGTTGCGCTTAGTTTGCGCTAAGGTTGCGCTAATGTTGCGCTAAGGTTGCGCTATAGTTGCGCTAATGTTGCGCTAAGGTTGCGCTATGATTGCGCTTTAGTTATGGTTGCGATATAATTCTGATTTTTTTTTTTGTTATAGATGAGGACTCCGTATAAAAGGCCAGTAACATCTAGATG